TCAGTGCGGAAGCGAGAAAGGATTTAAGATATCTACCACATTAAGAATCCCTCGTAGGAGACAGTGTTGCTACAGCATCTGTAGTGGCAGACCTGATACGTTCGGAGCAACACTATCACATCACGATACACACTCGAAAGCGAATATATCTTCGTTGTTCTATAGCAACAAAGCATCACTTTCACTTGACAGCTGATAGTAATCCCTTGGTGCAAAAATGACTTGGGCTGAGAAAGCGATATGAATGGAGCCAGCCCACTTAAATAAAACTGCCAATGGTGCATACGAGCTCTTATTGGTAGGCATCCCAGCCAACACACAGGTGTCTTGATTACCAACGTGGAGATCCATATCTACCGTAGGTTAGAATCCTGTGGGGCTACATGTATACTTGAGATTAGTACTTCTTGCGGTTCAACGTGCACTTTAAGAATGAAGTGTTGCATCCACAAAAGCACGTGCCATCACGACGAGTTTACCCCCAGTATCTTCTCATTTTTACGTATTCAGCGCATTGTTCGCTCTACCGATCGAATACAGAATGTAGGGATACTTCGGCTCTAAAGTCAAACTGGCAGGGATAATCGAGCTCCAAAGTTCTAGTCTACGCCTGACGCGTGCGCTCGTACTATGAAGCGTTCAGTACAGTCGTGATACCCTCGCTGCACGGAGACTTTCAGGCTCAAACTGGGGTAGCACCGTCATCAACTGACGCCAATGATTTTGGCTCGTTGAGTCAACGATTGACCGCTTGCTTCGGCCGCAAAACTTCAACTGTCGTCGACAAACGTCCAATCACACTGTTTGCTCGACGCTCTAAACGCAAGGACCATCGATTATGGCGATCAAATACCTGCGCTGCTGATCCCTTCACAGCAGTCCACTACAGTCCTACCATCCCCGCTCACCCTTCTCAGAGGCATCAGCGATCTCTGATGGATCATGAGTTCAAGCTAACTGTTTTCCGTTAAAGCTGGGATAGATCACCCCTTCTGTTGCTTACTACTCCACCGTACCAATTTGCCGCCAACGCAACAAGAAGAGATACATCTGATCGCGTCAATGGGGACTGGTTGCATGTTCAGTACGGGCCTGGTACATGTATAATACAAGTAGCTGCCTTCTGGAAATCCGATGCGTGAGCTTCAGTCGATTGGACAAGCCTAGCCATTCAGGCACTTCTTTATCCATGAGTCATCCGAAATTGCTGGTCCCCTTGAAACCTACTGCGCAAGAAATACATATTTTTAAAGTATATTCAATACTTAAGTACATGATGAAAACTACTTGCATACAATTAAAAATAACACAACTATAAACTTTCAAATTCATGTGACACACTCACTTCAACGGATAAACGGCAGCAACTGGGCGTTCATTTTCCGATTTGCCGGTCACACAACACTGCTGCATTCCACTCCACAGCGCCACAATGGCCCACAGCGACGTGGTTCTGGCTGTGCGCTTCTGGATCTGGTGCAGCACGCTGCTCATGATCTATATGCCATCGCTCTTCGTGCGCCGCATCTACAGGGAACGCGCCGTAGGCTCCGCGTCTATCATCCCTATTTTCCTGGTGCTCGCCAACTCGCACGTCTGGATGCTCTACGGCTATTTGGGTAAAACGTGGTTCCCAAGCTTCCCTGTCTTCCTCATCGGCGACGTCGTTTCATTATGCTACCTGCTCGTCTACTGGCGGTACTCCGACCAGCGCCACCAAGTGGCCAAAACCATCGGCCTTATGTTTGCGTGGTTGATGGTGCCTACTTTCTACGTGGTTGTCGCTAGCTTAGGCTTCACCGGCCAGACTAGAGACGAGATCTGGAAGACACAGGGCTTGTGCTTCTGTGACGTCACAGTCATTTCGATCCACATGCTCATGCTCAAGAACCTCATCTTCGCGTTCAAGCAGCGGTCCGCTGCGACGCTCGTGCCGCGTTCACTGGCTGTCACTACATTCAATACATTCGGCTGGTTCACATTCGGTCGAGTGACTTCGAACTGGATCATTGCTGGACCTCAAGTGTTCGTCATTGCACTGCATGTGGCTGCGTGGACCATGTACGTCATCTTCACCCGACGAACGAGGCCGGAGACAGACCTGGTTGCCATGGAGGAGGGATCTGTTGTCATGTCGGTCAACCTCTCGCCCAAAATCGATGTTGGCACTAAAGAAGCTGTTCCTAGTAGTCCAGACTA